ACTGGGAATAGAGAGCAGGAGGCTCCCGCCCAGCCAGAGCGCCGGTGGGCGCGGAGCTGAGCCCAACTCTGGCCGCCATGACGTCACACGGGCCTGCCAGCCAATGAGGACCGCGCTGGCAAGGATATTAAGGAAAGTTAGCGCCTGCCAGAGCACCCTCTTTTCTTATATTTGACATTTAAACTCTGGGGCAGGTCCTCGCGTAGATCGCGGCTGTCAGATCTGCCACTTCCCCTGCCGAGCGGCGGTGAGAAGTGTGGGAACCGGCGCCGCCAGGCTCACCTGCCTCCCCGCCCTCCGCTCCCAGGTAACCGCCGGGCTCCGGCCCTGGCCCGGCTCGGGCCCGCGCCGCTTCGCAGCTGCCCACGACGGGTGCCTCCAAAGCCAAGCCCGCCCCAAGTAGCCCGGGGGCTTGCTTTTTGCCTTTAAAAGGAGGAATACAAAGATGGAGGGGAGTTACAGAGGGCGGAATCGGATAGGGGAGGAGGGGGGGTGCCTTGTCTTCGCCGAGTGTGTTTTTCTGCAAAAGTAGCAAAATGTTCCAGTCCCCAGAGTGGACTTCCAGCTGGGTGCTGAGCGGGGGTGAGGGGCGGGGAGAGGAGCGGGGATCTGCTGCTGCTGCCCGCAGAAGCCGTTGGCCACCGTGCGAAATGCAGGAGGGGAGACGCAGTTTGCACTCACAACTCCCCCCGAATCGCAGTTCACCCCATTCCCTCGTGGAGCAGTCCCCGCCCGCTCCTGAAGCGCGTGCCGCACAAGTTTCCCCGCGGCTGCAAAGTGTAGATGGTCGGACCGAAACAAAGTCCTAGCGATGGGAGTTCGTTTCTCAGGAAGGAGATGAGGACTAAAGAATGCTGCCGGCAGAGCGGGGCAGCGCGCAAGGCCCCCAGCGTGATTTGAGCTTCACTTCGGAGACCTAATAATTAGCGATTCGCACTGAGCGAGAACGCGGGCTCGGGTTACCGCGGGCGCTGCGCGGCCTCGGCGGGAAGCCTGCGGGCGCCCGGGAAGCCCAGCCGTTTAGTGCCGGGAAGAGCAGCACCCGGACTCTCCCGTCCGCGGACGGCCTATGCGGGTGCCAGAAGTTTCTCCAAAGTGGGTCAAGGAAGGAAAGACCCCCAAACCTATACTAACCCATGGTTCCCCGGGGCGAAAGTTCCGGGAGGCCAGCCGTAGACGTCCGGAGGCGCCAGGGCAGGCTTAGGCAGGGCACAGGGCACCCGCCAGGAGGTGGAATAGGAGTCCCGGTCAGGCCCAGGCTCGCCCCGCACTCCCACTGTTGCTTCTGGCGGCCCCTCTCTAGACCTTGGGCGGGGGGGGTCATCTTTGCAGGACGTTTGTATCTCAGGCACCTGCGACAGGTGCTTGGGAGCAGTGGCCGTCCCCTGCCCACCTCGCCCAGGAGCAGTGGTCACTGTGCCGAGCACCTTACCTGAATCTGGGTCCTCTCCTCCTCGAGTTCCTTTCTCTGGACTGAGGAGCGAGCAGGTTGCCCACTTCGCTGTGGGAAGTGGACCTTCTCCTCTAGCCATAAATCAAAGCCAGCCATCCTCGGGCCTCCTCCCTCATTAGAGATGTTTATTGGAGATTGTGTTTATTCGGCTGTCACGGCGAGAAAGCGCAGTGACATAATTACCTCCGACCAGAGTCCTCCCCCAGCGCCCAGGCAAGCCGGGACCTCCTGGGTCGCCTTCTCACTCCAGCGCCTTCTGGATCGGAGGGCAGATGTACCGTCTCCTACAATTTGGATTATTGAAAGAGCTACTGTTCAGAATTCTCCAGGGCATGGCGTGTATTTATTTATTTTAGAATTTGAAAGGAAAACTGAAGGGAACCAAACGCCCCTCCCGGGCGGAAGGAGGCAGCGCGGGCGCAGCGGAAGGAGAGTCCCTCTGGCCGCACAAACTTTCCGGCCCTCCCGGCTGCTGCGCGCTGGGGACCCCACGCCACCGGGCGCCAGAGCCCGGCCAGAGCAGTGGAGAGCTGGCCGGGAGGGATGGATGCCGATACTCTCTGTATTATTTGTTGTTTTATTTTTAATTCTCTCCCCTGGGGGTAGGAGGGTGGGAATCTGAGGCTTCAGAGCCTCAGGCTGCTGATTCTTAAACTCAGGCCGAGCTGAGCGAGCCAGTCTGCAGCTCCTCACCGGAATCTCTCCCCTGGCTGCGCTCCCCCCTCTCCCCCCCCATCCTCCCCATCGGTTTTCCCTGCTAGCCAGGTTTGTAAGTCACCACCTGTGAGACTGGTTAGGAAGTGATGGCCCAATTGTTCTCTAATTGAAAATACTTGTGTGTGTGTGTGTGTGTGTGTGTGTGTGTGTGTGTGTGTGACCGTGCTGACAAATATCCTGGATACCGGCTTTTGATCCTCACTGCCTCCAATGTCCTCCAATCGCTAATAAAACTTGGGCCCTTAGTGTCTTGATTAACAGACATATTAACTCTTCCGGGGGGTGGGGAACAGCTTGTCCCAATCAATGTCACTTTAAGAGCTGCCAGGATGCGCTTAGCTCCGTTCCTGGCTGCTCCAGCGAACCAGCCCTGACATTTGCTCCCTCCCTCTTCCCCAGCTTCAGATCCCCCAGCAAATTCCCCAGTTCCCAGCTCGCGTGTTCTTTGCGCCTCTCCAGGAAAAACTTCTGACTCTGTTTGTTTGGAGATGGGGTCTCTAGGGAGAAGGGGCTGAGGAGGCTTTAGCTTGCTTTTCTTTTAAAGCTGAACTCTTGCCTCTTGAGGGCGGGAGTTACAGGGAAAGGAGAGATGGGGAACCTTCCTGGGTGACCAAATGGAAAGCAAACTTTCCTGAGAACCCTATTTGCAAATGTCCTACACATTGGAGATCTGGAGTTTTAAAGCGAGCCCCTATCTGGACAGCGGCATGCAGGATCCGGGAAGCAAAGGCTTGGGTGTCTGCTGGGAAACCCAGTTGGCCAGTGCGAGCCCGTGTGTGTGTGTGTGTGTGTGTGTGTGTGTGTGTGTGTGTGTGTGTGTGTGTGTTTAAAGTATTTGGTGGAAATGTAGAGAAAGAGAGACGCTTTCCGCTTTCCGCCTAATGTGAATGGAAGAGGACCGAACCCACTTGCCATTTGGTCAGAGGCGAGGGCAGGCCAAGGCACCCAGGCTTTCCCCAGCCAAGCCTGGCCACAGGCCGGAGGCACTGCCAGCTCCAGGCTCTTCTCCGCCTCCCGGCACTCTGGGCTCTGGAGGCTGAGGGGTGAACTGGAAACCCACGTATTGGTGGAAAAAAAGAGAGGGAGAAAGGCCTGGAGTGAAGGAGGCACCTGGAACTGGTCGGCAAGGGAGGGCGCCTTTGCCTTTTGTGCTCATTTGACCCGTTTTGCCAGCAAAGAGAGAGCCTTTGGAGTCTCTGCAAAGTGGTGCAGGTGTTTACGGAGACTTTCCTCCTTCAAAGAAAAGCTCGTCTTCACCCTTCCCACCGCGCCTCTGCTAGGGCGTGGAAAGCGGCAGTTCAGAGGTGTTGCAACACTCTCGCCGGGTGGGAGACTCCTGGCTCCCGAGCCCAGCGCCAAAAGCACATCTCCCAAGAGCTGGACGCGTCTTTGCTTAGCCAGAGGCCTCCTCCAGACCGGAAACCCGGGGAGTGGGCAACCGCAAAGGCCTGGGAGCGCTGGGGGGTGAGTTGCCGCCGATCTCACATTGACGAACGAATACAGGCCAGAGGCTCCGGGCACTCTCCCGTGAGCGGCGCGTTCGGCACAAACCGCCCTCCCCTACCGGGTGGGATGACCCCGGCGGCCCCTGCGGGAACCCGCCGGGGAGCTGTCCACTGCGGGCGCCGCGGGCAGGGGAGGAGACTTGAAGAGAGGCGGGAAGAGGCGAGACGGAAACCCAAGGCGCGATCCCCCCCACCCGTACCCCCCTGCTTGGAGGGCAGCAAGGGGGCCTAGGAAGCCGCAATTAAAATGGCGACATGCGAGCTGTCTCAGTTTTGCTCTCACCTCTGCCCCTGGCGGGCTGCTTCTCCGCCCCAGCCCCCCAACCAGCCGCGTCGCCCGCAGAACGTGTACTTGGCGGAGAGCGAGAGGCGCCCCACGAGGCAGAACAGCACCCCCACCCCCTTTGAAACTAGCCCAGGGAGAACATGAAATCTCGCTCTCCACCCCTCAAACTTTGAAAACTCTGTCTCCCTTGGGTCTGACTGCCCCCGCCCCCCCCGCTGCCCCCAAATATTGACACACTGGAAGCAGCTAAGTCCCTTTTTGTTTCTTGCTTGTGCAGAGGGGTTTCCAAGAGTCCTCCCCCTCGCCCCCACCCCCACCCAATGACGTCAGTGGCATTCACTCCCCGCTCCTAGCCTCTTATCATTTTTGTTGTTGTTAAAACTTTTCTCGGAGGTGAGGTGGGGGTTGAAGGGTGGGAGAAGGAGCGATTCAAAGAGACAGTGCCCAGGGGGGAAATAGCAACAAGATTATGGTCCCTTCTTTCCGAGGCAAAGCTTAAGAAGGTGCTAATCCACTCGGTCCCTAATTGAGAGGTTGTAAAAATGATATTCGCCTCCAGTTCGACAGCCTCTGGGCCTCCTCCTCCCCCCTTGCTTATGCCCAGTGGACTTGAATTCAAGTTTCTTTAATGCTTGTTTGAGAAGTAAAAAGGGGGAGAAAAATAACGCCGACTCTGGTTGGTCTGAGACCTGGGCCCGCTGTCCCACGTCCGGGATCCCGGGATCGGGAGAAGTCTGGGTCCTACGAAACCTCGCTCAGGAGACCGCAGACCCGAGCGCCCGTGCCACCTGCTTCTGGCCCGGGGTTTGTCCTGGCACTGAGTGCACCTGGGCCACGGGAAGAGCGGTTCCCAGGACGAGGAAGTGGACGGGTTGTGCTGCCCCAACCCTGGCCGCGGCTAAGGAGGCCTCGGCTCTCCCCAGCTCTGCCTAGGCTCCTCAGTAGCGGGGTTACTGGGTTCGGGCTGGGGATGAGAATGGGAGGCCCACACTAGGCCCAGCGGCCCAAGGCGGCCTGCAGCTCCCAGGGGCGGCTACCATACCATCCGCGGAGTTCCGAGTGTACAGATTGCATGGATGAGCTCTGACTTTCAACACTTTTCATAAGTCAAGAGGAGTCAAGTGTCCCCGGTGGTGGCTTCGTTTTGGCCTCCCTGCCTCTGCTCTTCCAACTCCAGTCTGTGCCGGGTTCTGGGGTGTGCTCCCCACCCCTAAACGGCCGGTTCCCTGTGCTAGGGCCTGCAAGCTCCAAGAGAGCTCCAGACTTCGCACGACTGGGCAGCCGCTCTCTCCCCTGTCACCTTAACTGCGGCGCCAAGGGGTGCCTTTGGAGTGCACTGAGGTGTGTCCTAATGGTCCAGCATTCAACAAATGGACTTCTGGTGTGTGGTCAGAAGAGAAAAGCCATTGACTTACTTTCCTCCCTGGGTTTTCTGGCAACAGTTGAAGGGGAGCCGCCTCCGTGGACTAAGCAGACCCAAGAGAAGGAACCGTGGTGCCGACACACCTGCACCGCACTCAGATAACGCACACCGACACGCCGACATCGCTGGCGAGGACACACACACGCACACGCAATCTCTCCCAGCATTGGTCATCTCCCTCCACCTCAGACCCCAGACATCCTCCTCCCCTCCTATCCCCCACTGGGATCCCCTCCTCTCGGGCGCCCGGAAAAGCAACCGCACTTAGTCAACAAATGGCACGTGGGAGAAGTTGGTGAGTGTTTGGTGAGGACTCTTCAGGGCTTTTCACAAGAACCCTCTGTACACAAAGTAAGTGGCGTGTTTGCTCGGGCCTCTCCAGCCGGGCTGTGACTCCGCTCCGCTGCGCTCGGCGGCTTCCGAAAGGAGAAAGAACAGAAGAAAGGGCCGGGGGAGCGAGGGTGGGGTGATGGGCAGGCTCGGGAGGCCTGGACTGGGAAGGCGGCCCGGCCTCGCCGAGTTGCCAGCCTGGCGGCCTCCTCTCCGCCGAGGTTTCGCCTCGGCCATCACTGGAGTGTTGCTGCCGAAACCCCGAGCTGCTTACACCCTCTTTCTCTTCTTCCCAGCGGCCAGGTGGGCTGGGGCGCGGCCACGGCTGTGCTCGGTGTCACAGTGCCCAGGCGAGGACCTGGTAGGGGCGGGAGCGAGGGCGTGCGGGTGGGGGCGGGGCGGCTGGCCAAGCTGCGCTGAAGATGGCAAGAAAGGGCTGCGTAGAGCTGCGGGAACTTGCTCCCCAGGAGTTGGGAGTTCCGAGCCCAGTTTAGGGAGGTCGGGGGCGCGACCCCCCGTCCCAGCGGCCTTCACTCGACCCCTCAAGTTAGCAGCCACAGGGCGGGCCGCGCTAGCTCCCAGGCCCCTCAGAGCC